TATTAAACATGAAATTAAAATGGAAGATTATGGTGAGAAAATTTAAAATTAAGAGGAAAAGAAAACAAGGAGGATGGTATGAAATTCATACTCTTTGATGGGAGCAACACCAAGAACAAGAGGCTTGGGGGCCTCAAGGTAGCTCAGTTCAGAACGGCTGCATCTGCAGAAATTATGAAAAATAAACAGAGTTACTCGCTCTGATTTTATCACAACAACATTAACATGAAACAAAAAGAGAACCCAAATTTTCTCGAGAAAATTATTGATTTTCCGAGGAAACAAACAGAAGCCGGAGAAGAGAGACTACGCACGAGCAGTTGTTGGCACTGCAGTTGCAGCTTGGGATACAGCCACAGCTCGACATGTTTTTTTCTTACAGAACAATCAACGAACCAACTCTAATATTTGATTTTACTCGCAACTCAAGACCTCGCTGATTCTCAACACTTGGTTTGAGCGCTATTTATAGAGCCTCTCCATTGCCATCCACCGTCCACGTGTCACCATCTTATTCACTCTACATGGTTGTCCAACCAAACGAGTCTTTTTTCTTTTTAAATCCTTTTCCCGAAATTCCATATATTAGGTTTCGCATTTCTTTTTTATTGATTGTAGAACTTTGTCCAATTTTTCTAGATCCGCTTTTTACTTTGTTTTATTTAGTAATTACGTCATTTTTTTAGTAGTCTTTATGTTGTTGTTTGATGCATTATTTCTGTATTTACGAAAAAAAGTGTGAAATTTTTAAGTTAAAGGTAAAAGTGTAAGCCTATTGGATCTTTTTTAGATTTATTTTATATGGTTTCATTTTTATTTTTATCTTTTTTTTAGTACGATGTGAAAATTGAAACTTATAGGTTTTTGATTGAAGATATTGTCAATTACTATTGATGTAGGCTCGAGGTATGATTTCATTTTTATTTGAAATATAATCCTATCATAATTTTATAGGCTAAAATATAGTTCTTACTTTGAATTATAAATGAATAGTTTATTGTCTTTATATTCTTAAAGTTTTAAATACACTCTTCATCTTTTTTATTAATTAAACATCACCCTTTAGGCTGACACAACTCGCTTTTTTGGTCCTATACCCAAAT